TGATTAGGTTTTCTTACATGTTCTCGATCGCAATAAGAGTCTTGCTTGCATATATTAGGATTGAATTTTCGCAGGCAACATCGAGTATTTCCACTAGTATTTATGTATGAAATCAGACGAGAAAAAACTAAAGAAACAGTCAACAGCATAAATTTTCAATTTTTATACGTAATGGATCAAAAAAATCGTTTTAGAAACCAATTAATTTGACTTTTGTGAAGTCACAAGAGGAACGTTACCTTTAACTTTCATAAACATCATTTAAAGACATCTTTCTAGATCATAGTTAATTATAATTGACTGTTGTTTTAGAAGATATTTTTGACGAATTTGTATAAAAATTGTAAATATACTTCATATACAATACATTTTTACTTTGACAAATAGAAAAACTCATCGTGAAAATATTGTTCTGTTATACGATTTTACAAAGATTTTATTTGCAAATTTTTTTTTGTTGTTTGAAAAGAAAATTCATTCAGACAAATAACGTAATGCATGTTGCTTCTAAAGGAAACATCGAAATAATAAAAACATTTTAAACAATCAAAACAAAGTGATAAATAGAATTCCGAAACTACAAAAAGTTATAAAACAGTTACGTTGAAATCTGAATTCTGCCAATCAATTAAAAATATATTAAATATGTTTCTTTCTTGCCTAAGAAGATTAATGTATGTCTTTAGTTCATTTATATTTATGTTATTACATTATGCAAGTTATATTAACAAGAACTACGTGGAATTCATGTAACTTCCTCAATAGCAATGTAATCAGAAGAAAAAAACAATAAGAGCATTTTCAATTATATGACTGAGCTTCATATTCTAAAATTAAAACTATCATCCATACTTTCTTAATTACATGAAAACAAATTCTTTTATCTTCGTCGAAATACTTTAATCTACAGAAGCTCTTCATTATCATGCTTGAAAATGTGAAAAATGAAGCATAAAGTAGTTTTCTTCTAGTCAAAATAAATCTGTAATACATAGAATTTAGCTTTATATTTATTGAACTATTATTATTTTCTCATCATTTATGATACAAAAAGAGACGAATATTAAATATGCAACAATATGTGTCGATAGTAGTAAACTATGAATGAATAGATTTATGAATCAAAAAAAGCAGAAAAGAAAAATATGGTATAATACGGAAGGACAGTTCACTACATCTCATTTATCAAGAAAAGAAAAGATAACAAAGATCTAATATTTATTTTAGAATCAAACGATCGTGGACAATTTTTGAAAAACTTTAAAACAAAAAAGGGAAAAATAACTCAAGTTTAGGCTCTATCTAGAGTAGATATTGCTCGATCTTTTTAGAAAGTCAATGAAAAATTCAACTTGCTTTTCTTCTTGGATACATCATGAGTTTTAAAGATGATCTTAATTTAGTTTAAATACAATATACTTTCTCAACTAAAACACAATAGGCAGATAACTTAACTTCTTCTGTACGGATTCACATGAATTCTAAAGATGGATAATAGTTTGTGTTTCAAGAGTATAAAGATTTTGCTGAAAACCACTCATCAAAGAAAAAATTTGACTGTGAGTCTTGGTTTTTTTTCTGAAGCCATCATCACATCCAAATGTCTTTTTCAATGAGAAATTCTATTTTGACTGCTATAAAGTTAGACTGAACCAATATGACAACATGTACATGATACAAACACGAATTTTACTTTGACTGATATGAGACAAGTAACACAACAACGGATTTATAACTTAGATACAACGAAAGCTATCAGTTACGTTAAACAATGTGAAACAACATTTAAAAGACTGATAATTAAAAACTATAAAAGCTAATACATAATGTCACGAAACCGATGATGACTAAAAACTTACAGCAAAAAAAAATTGTTAGTTGCTCAAATTTTGAAGAAATTTGGTGAATGACCTCCAGTAAAATTGTTATATTTTTGGAACAGAAACCGCTACCGATCTTGACCTTATATGAATCAATACAGAAGACGTTAGGCTATGTACCCATTATATTCTAGTGGAGAGAGCATATTGAGTATGGATTGTAGGCAAAGAGGAGAGCCACCAACCGACACCTACACCTCTTACTCACACCCCGTCCAAACTTAAAAATCAATGTAGTGATTATCTTCACTAAGTTCATTGTATATCATTCTTTATTGTTAGACAATTATGAAAATTTTTAAAAAAATCTACAGAAAACATTTTATAACAAATAGATAACTTTTCCCGTCTTTGCTGATTTATTAATCGCTAATGCTTACCAAAGAAGATGATGATATTGCCAATGTCGATTGTAACGGAAATGATAAGAAAGAAAACATATTCTTGTTATCTCGCTAAATGTAATTTCAACGCGACCAATAATCTATCTCATTGAAAATTTTCTTTCTTTTCATTTCAATTATGTTCATAGAATTGAAAAGTTTTCAAAAAAGCTTACATTAGAATATCTTAATTCACGGCCTATATTTAGTGAGAAATAAACAATCATGTATATAACGAATGCGTTGTATATTATCCACGTGTTTAATACATGGATGAAGCCTTAATGTATGACTCTTTTTCTTTTCGTTTTTAAATCAACAGGTATGCAATGCCTTCTTCTTCGCTTGTGTCGTTGAATAAAATATCATAGTTTTTATGTTTTACATATCTACGACAACACTCGACGACAAAAGTTTAAGTCTATTTGTTTCTTTCGATTTTTTTAACATCTGTTTTTTCAATTTTTCTTTCACATGAAGAGGTACTAATCTAATTCAAATGGTGATACAGATAGTCAGAAAGGCCAAGCACATGATGTAGTATTGGAACAGACTCCATCTGTCTATATAGATTTTTCATCATTTAAATTATTTTGTTTCACGCGAAAATATGTTTCAGCAGTAGCCAATATTTTGCAATTCCTAATCAAAAGATTTGCTCGAAAATGAAAAAAAAAGACCAGTCGATAGAGAATTTTACGCTCTATCTGCTTCTAAAAACATAGCTGAGCTGGTCTTCATCTCAAATGCCTGATTCTAAAGAGACTAGACCGAAAAAACTGATTGTGTTTTCATTCAAGTTAAATAAAAATGAAAAGTTAGTCGTATTTGCCAAAACGTTTTTTTTCAAAAAGATGGACATGAAAAAAAGGGTGGTGTTGGATCTTCAAATACACTATTTTATTTAGTTTTGAATGCTCTTTTCAATGGCATATACAATATTTCGATAAGAGAGCATATGTAGAATCTAATTTCACTTTTTCCTTTTTTTTTGGGCTAATATCGTTAGAATCAGGTTTTTCAGATGCAGATCAACTCTGAAAACGAAACTTTTTTCGAAAAACAGATAGAGCGTAAAATTCTCTATCGACTGGTCTTTTTTTCATTTTAGAGCAAATCTTTTGATTAGGAATCGCAAAATATTGGATACTATTAAAACTTATTTTCGTTTGAAACAAAATAATTTAAATGATGAAAAATCTATATAGACAGATGGAGTCCGCTCCAATGCTACATCATGTAGGTGGCCTTCCTTACTATCTATATCATTATTTGAATCAGATTAGTACTTCTTCATGTGAAAGAAAAATTGAAAAACCAAATGTGCAAAAAAAAAGTCGCAAGAAATAAATTCGCTTAAACTATTGCCATCGACTGTAGTCTTACGTCATCGTTATTCTCAAGTGCAATGATATAAGACAAACTATCTACAGACATGGTATGTGTTTTTTCTTTTCTTGAAGCTTTCCTAATAAAACAAAAGCATTTATGACTGTGTAGAATAAAGAACAACAACAGCAACAGATACCACTTTATGCTATTTCTCCGGATGTCATTGAGAAAAATCAAAATAATGAAAAAGTTTCATTATTGTTCGTGACAACTCTATGTCGTCGATTACATGAACATTCTGGAATTTGGTATATGTTAACGGCAACTTTCATTTTCGCTTGTTGTTCGTTTGCTCTCAAACTAGTACCAGCTGATGTCTTTGATATTATGATTGTTCGATTTTCAATTCACTCTCTTGTTTTTGGTGTATTTGCTACTTTCTATAAACATTATAATGTATTTGATACAAATGGACAACCGATTGCATGTTTATTAAACATTGTAATGTCAATTGGTACAAATTTCACTTATTTAGCTGCATTGAGTTTTATTCCATTATCAGATTTAAATACAATCAGATACACTTATATTGTTTGGGCAGCAATATTATCTGTTCTATTTCTCAAGGAACGTTTCAAAATTGTTAATACTATTTCATTATTCTTGACAATCCTTGGGCTTATATTCGCTACTAAGCCACATTTCTTTATTAAAACATTAGGTCAAATATTTGATCCGTCATCATCATCGTCAATGTTAATTACGACAACAACAACTTTAACTACAAGTATTGCTAATACTACGACTCCTTCATCTTATTATTATTTAGGCATCGGTTTCGCTTTTTTATCGGCTTTTGCAAAAGCAACACAATTTATTGCTCGAAAACAATTACTTATTACAAAACAACCACATTCTGTTATGAATTTTCAGTATGCAGGTGTTGCTTTATTAGTTTCATTGATTTATAGTATTATTCGTCGATTTTGGCAACCAGAACCATATCCATGGAGATGGATGGGTATCGCCGGTGTTATTATAGGCTTTTTTCGATTATTATCAGTTATACTATTTGCAAAAGCATTAAAACGAGAAAAGGTTCAAGTTATAGCAATTATTACTTCACTTGATATAGTTTTTGCTGTTCTATTACAATATATATTTTTTCGTCAAACAAAATCTTTGATATTTTATCTTGGAGCATCACTTATTGTTCTATCAGCAATTATCCTTTCAGTTGAACATCATTCAAATAATAAGCGCGAAAGGAAAACCCAGATAAAGCATGATGAAAATCATCAAATTAAGAATAATATATAAACTATCTAGAAGTGTTTTTAGTTGATTGTTATATATATTCATTAAATATATATATTTATGTAAGGATCATTAGATTTAATAAAAATTTGTGAGTTTTTCGCCAATATTGTTGTCTTTAAAACTTGAGAATTACATTGAATGCAGTAAAAGATAGTTACTGTAATCAAGTCAGTATAAAATCTAGATGAATTATTTGCTTATTTGAATTTTATTTGCCAAATGCAAATATGACCCATTGTAGCATGAACAAAGCTCGATTAATGTAGAAGTGATCAAGTCAATAAAATAGTTAGACATTCTCTTTTTTTCTTTCTCTATGGAGTTTTACTCCAACGTCGAACATTCATCGAACATTGTAGATAGAACATTTTGGCACAGACTAATACATTACTCGACCTCAATTTTCGAAATCTGTAGATGTTTGTTAAGTCATGAAAGATCAACAACTATTTTCAAATCAAACAGATCATAGAAGGAAACCAATCATTCTGAAACGCGAAACGAAATCAAACGAAAGTAACACCAAAATTCTCATTGATAACCAATGATTTAGCCATACTAATCTTTCAACTCTATCTTTATCGTCACATTCATCTTGTAAAGATGTTGAAGTACAAACAACATCGATAAGTTCTGAAGCTGTTAGATATGCAAATTATATGTCATATCCATCTATTACCATTATTGGGACTCTAGCTTTTAAATCACATGCAACACCAGATATTGTTCATAATTTACTATCACTGGTCAATGCTCATCAACAAATATCTCGAATTAGTGACGCATCATGGCGTTTAAATAATAAAAATCAACTATTACTCTTTACTCCAACCAGAGAAATATTTTCATTATTATTAACAAATACATATCTATTCATTACTGGTATATGTTCCATACCAGTTACACATTCATGTCCTTTACCAGCTCAACTTTCACTTTTTCTTTTAAATTAATCTGTTTATACGAAATTAAAAAAATTGATGGTAAAACAAAATAGAAGAGAATTAATTTACTTAAGTTCATGAGTTTTTTCTTCAAATTTAATAAGATCATTTTATTTTTGTTCAAGTTCAATTGTGCTTTGTAGAAATTGTTGATAACGAATATTAACTCGTGCTAAATCATCATTATTTTAAGCTATTTTTGTTATAATTGATGATAATTCTGATTGTAATTGTTTTTTGTGTACATTTAATTGATCGAGTAAAGAACGAAATTCTTCTAATGATTTAGATGTATGACGTTCAAAGTTAAATGTTAGATTATAGTTTTATCATACAGAAGAAAAGTCTAGATCACTTAATAAGTAAGAAAATAAAATGTGTATGAGATGGAGAAAAAGTTGATAAATCAGATGAGTTTTAAGTGGAACTTTTCAAAAACGATATTCTCAAGTTAGTTTTCTCTTTCGATTTACATAAGGCCAACATTCCTAGCTTGCTTCGTTCGAAAGCTACGAGACTTTTTTTTTTGAGATCCTTGATTTTGGCTAATTGATCTACGATTACTTAGAACCGCATCTAAGCAAGGACAATTCATCATGTTGAGTCAAATAGTCATATTTGATTTTAAGTTCGAATGGATCTGACACTATTATCTAAATATTTCTAAAATGCTACAATCAGCCTTCATGTAACGAAGATGTCGACATTTCGGAAACATGAAGATGACGGAATCAGGTTATTTCGACTCTAAAAACAAATATCACCATTTGAATCAGCATGTTGAATTACCCTGCCTGGCCGCTTCTTCGACTGATCGTAGGTAAATTATTTGAAATCACGTGTCTCAGGATAACTTCAATTTATTTAAAGTCTAAATCAACATGGAAATAGCTTCAGGATATCATTCTCAAAAATCTATTCATCAAGAACTCGCTTGATTAGTCAATAGCTGACTAATCAAATTTTGATAGTTTCAGATCTTCTCTCTTGAACAGCAAAATCTGCAGCTCTCCAGGATGTTTATAACGAAAGTTGTTCAAAAAAAACACCAGTGCAGTTCATTATATTGTGCAATGGATAATAGATATATTGAAGCAAAGAAATAATTTTTTACTATATCTATTTTATACATATCTTGATTAGTGCTTTTTATATCGTAAGATATCATCAGACTATCGAAGAAGTAGATTACAAAAATTTCTATAGTTTTCATTACTTTGAGAATCAAACAGAAATTCAAAACATCGAATTTTTGATGCCTTGAAAATAACAGTATCTGATATTTCGTTGTTGGTCTGGAAGTAGAGCCCGTCGGGTCCAGAATTTTTGGACCCGGACCCGATCATTTAAAATTTTTCTACCCGGATCCGGACCCGGACCCGTTTACAGGTTGCTGGACCCGGACCCGGACCCGATCGCTTAAGTTTTTTGGATCCAAACACAATGACAAGTCAGTTTAGATAGTATAGTCAAGAAGGGTTTTGTTGTTTTTTATCTATTTTCTAAATACATTTGATCTCTTCTTTGTATAAAACGAAGAAAACTTTAAAAAAATTCAAAATAAATTGTATGGATCAAAGTTTTCTTCAGACCTGGATCCGGTTAAAGCAAAATTTTCAGACCCGGACCCGGTCAAAATAAAATTTTTGGACCCGGACCCGGACCCGGACCCGGACCCGGACCCGGACCCGGACCCGGCCAAAGTAAAATTTTTGGACCCGGACCCGGACCCGGACCCGTGCGGGTCCGGGTAGGGTCCGGGTCCGGGTCCTACCCGACGGGCTCTATCTGGAAGCCTGAACATCGCTGTTTTCTTTAACAATGAATTTCGGAGAATGATAAGGGATATTTCATAGAATTTTAATCATGTTTTGATCGTATTATTCATATTTATCTAGATGAATTGAATTCTAATATCTTGATATCATAAAGAAGGTTAATTTGTTGTTTTTATTTGACAAAATAACTTAATCAAGTGTCGAATATAGCAAGTGACAATCAAACATATCTGTAAAGAATCAATGTTAAGTTTTGTTTTTTGAAAAAATATCTCTTGTCGTGATAACACCTGTAAATTATATATTTATTCTAGTGTTTATTACATTATATGCATTGTCTGATTCAATTAAATCTGACAATTCATGAATTATTGAAGGATAAAAAAACAATAATTTTCGTCATGTTTTTTCAGTTTGTATTAAATTAGACCTTTTTTTTTGCACCTTGTTTAAGTACATTGTTTGAGTTAAATTAGAAACCAAACATACTGAGAAAAAAAAGAAAATGATAGAGAAAGATGTTTTCATATTATAAAATACCACTCTCATTCTATTAGTAAATAAGACACAAAAGATTTTCTCGACATTAAAAATGTAGAATTTTACAGTGCAAACATTGTATAATTTTTATTCGTTGAACAAAGATCATAATATTTTTCATTTTGTTTTTCATATAAATAGAAACTTGTGATTAGCCCATGATTATCTCAGTGATAATAATAACAGACATAATAATCAGTCGAGAGACTAATCAATAATGATCATAGTTAATTAGTAGAAACTTCAATCAAAGAATAGAAAACTAGGTTTTTTTAATTAAAAAGTAAAACAAAAACTGAAGCAGATGAATATATTTACATAGATTTTTATCTAACATAGAAGGGATAGATTCTTTGCTTGTTGTTTTATATTTATAAAAGTAACTTAATTGAATATATGAAACTGATGGAAAATTTAATCATGCTATAGATATCATCAATTTCTCTTGTAATTTCTTTGACATGTTTTTTTGGCAGTACAAAAGAGGTACTCTTTAAATAAAGATTGAATGAACACATGATTAAATGAGACATACTGTTTTTTTTAGACAATGAATTTAATGAAAACAGATGTTCTTCTATAAGACTCGCACTTTGTATTATATAGAAGGATCTGATAAAGAGTGAAGTATCACTATTTATCTAAACATGATAAATCCAAATTGAAGAGACCATTTCCCTACCGTATATACAAGGAGGTTCACTCTTCTCCAACTACTCTTATCTTATTTGGAAGTCACTGAACGGTTGAGGCAGATTTGCGCTATCTTCCAGTCAATTTCCTGAGTCATTTCTTCCAATCTTGACAATCTCGAGATGTCTCTAATGATATACGAGTATAAGAGGAATGAATAAATAGATCGATGAGCTTTATATGCAAAGATATACTATTTCAATTAATAGTTTTTACGAATATTTTGTAGATTTTATATTTTCGGTTGTTTAACATTCGAGAAATTTCTATGATGAATATATTAGTAGTTTTTGGTGGTGTTGGTTTATGTTTTTATTCGTTAACTTTTCTTGCTTGTATAATTATGATTGTATTAATTTCTATTCGTATTCGTCTATTAAAATCTAATGTTTCTATGCTTCTGATATACAATACATATTTAACTTTATTTCTATTTGCAACAATCATGCTTCTTATGTATGCATACAATGAACATGGTAATCTCAATCCATCAATTTGGCTTGGTGGTCGATGGTGTCAAATACGTACTTATTTTGTTCATGTTTGTCTTTGTGCTTTGTATTATTCATTTATTCTTCAAGCTATTTTTCGATTATTTCGAATAGTTTTTTATCAATATAAAATATTACAATCATTTAGTGTTTGTATATTGGGAATAATTATTCAATGGATATTATCATTTCTTTTTCTTCTTCCTAGTCTATTATTAGACGATTTTCAATATTTGCCTTTTGAATATAATTGTTGGATTGCATTTGAAAATATTCGTGGACTTATGTTTGTAATCATGATTATTTATGGTATATCAACATTCTCTATTTCATCCATGTATATGTATATTATTCGATATATTCATCGACCAAATAATATTCAACAAAGACGACAAAATGCAAATAAACGAGATTTAATAATTTTAAAACGACTTATTATTCTTGTTACTGTTGTTGTTGGACTTGGTTTTCCTACAGTTGTTGTCGTATTTATATACATAGGTACAAATAATATTATACAATTCGCTTACCATATTCAAGGTGTAAGTCTATCAATCGGAGCATTTATAATATCTATTTCTCTAATCTTCATTACACCACAGATACGAGAGTTATTGAAAAGAAATCAAAGCCAAATTCTACCTACAGCGACAATAGCTTTTACTATTGATCGACCATGTAAAGTACACGGCATTTAACAATAATAAACGAAAAACATATTTCAATAGGATACATCTATTTGAGTGAATCGTTTTATAAAATGAAATATAAAGCAAAAGCTTTATTCACTAAATGTGTTTGTTGTTGTTTTTTTCGAGCCGGTACATCTCATGCACAAACATGGAAATTACCTGAAAATATCAGCAATTGTTGCATGTGAATACAAAATAGTATCAGATGTAGCCGATTAATGTTTCTGATTTTTTGGATCTGTTATATTTCTAACTTTACAATAATTTATGAGATCAATATTAACTATTTATTTAATTTATTTCAATGAAGATGGTAGAGTAACAAGTTCTTCCATAAAATAGCAAATTAAAACAATGAGATAAAACTATCATAAGTATTGATCACGCAATGAAGGCTTCGATTTTAAAATATTTGTGATGATATCAGAACTGTTTCAAGAATCCTAAAAAAAAGGACATATGATAAGGAAAATATCTAGGAGTGCACAGTAAATATACAAGGGAAAAGAAAGAGAATAATAGAAAGTCATACTAATGGAAGAGGAAATTTGCATTCGACTATTCAAGATCGCAACAGAATGTGCGTATGCTGAAGAGAAAAATATACAGTCACACTTCACTTATCAATGGCAAAGTTAGTGAACAAAATCATTAACTTGTTAAGGGATCTTAATATTTCAAATTGACTACTGGAAAAATTAGTATTACATCGCATCTAGGCCAGGCTGGTAGCTCTGATATACATGCACATATTTCTATTGTATGTAATCGCAAATATAAGTCAATTTGTGACCCGTTTACACATATTTCATGTAAGAGCAGATCGTGCGTGAAGACAAGACATTTTAAAAGCTTTTCAATTTGGTTGAGCACTATATTGTGAAGGTCGTTCATTATGTTAATCACCAAGTTTTATCAGAAAACTTTGTCTGATTCGATCGATTGATCTTTTCATATAGTTTCATATGAAATAACGATATCAATCAAATTTATCCGTGAGTTGCATGATAAACTTTTGTTATGATATAGAACAGACGTGCACTAAATATGTCACGAAAAATTCAATCAATCATCTGAAAAGATTGCATTTATGTAGAATCTCTCAAATTGAATTCAATGTTAAACTAAACTTCTATCGAATTAAATTCATTGGGAAAATTTGATTTTCTGATAATAAATTTTTTGTCTTCTATTTACCTGTACATATTTGGTAAATAAAAATAAATTAGGAAACTAGAATTTGTTGGAAAAATTATCACAATATATCTAAGAATATTTCATATCTTAGTTTTCATTTCAACTCTATATTCAATTGTTTACTAGCTATACATCGTTCAGAGATTGTACTGAACATTGCATTATTTAGTTCGATGGATAATGTAAAATAAATATTCATAGAATAACTTACAAGTGGTTAGTACCAACTAAGTTCATTAGCCATCTGTAATTGTAAGACGAAGACAATGAGAAGCTTGATAAATTTCTTCAAATCATCTCGATTAAAACATATATTGAGCTATTATTCTACTGTGTGAGCTTTTAATAAGATGTTAAAGAACTTCAGTTTTCATCCTATATTGACATAGTTATTTAACATTTTTCCTCATCTATTGCTATAGATAATTGATTTTGGTATTTTTTGTAAAACAAGATCTGAAAGGAGTGTTGAAGTAGATAAGGTAGAACCTTGCGACCCTATCCAGAGTGTGAAATAAGTTATTGTAACGATATTAATCTAGTCATAGTGTCACACCTATTGTATATCATCCATTGCTTATGTATAAAGCGAAAGAGAATGAAAAGAGACTATACAAAGACCAAGGAGGCAGATAATCTAAATATGAAGATAGGAACAATAAATTAATTACAGATACATAGTCACTGTCAAAGGAAGTAGAAGACCAGAAATGACAAGAGAAGGATAAAACGTCACGCACAAATCATCAATGAAGTCAACGAATGAAGCAAAAGACAACACATCAAGAATAAACAGAGAGCATCACAGTTGTTGATATCCGATCAAAGACTATATATCAATAACATCTCGTTGTACTATAATAACTACTTATTACATTTCTGGAAGATCAAGAAAAAGTACGGTAAAGAAATATGCTTGAATATAGATAGATTATCTTCCTGTGATTGGCAACAACAGCTACATTGTGTTTTACATTTTAATTCCACAAGGATTGTGTTAACAACTTTTCTCTTCGAAATCAATATCTAATCGATGGTATAACATATGCTAGAGCTATTAACATAGAAATATAAGTAAGTAATGCAACTAAATAATGTCAATTGATTTTTTATCATATAATATAAGAATAAATAAACTAATATATTTATTTGTATTTATGTTCATTATTATTAATATCTTATTATGTAAATATATATGTATATATTGAAAAAGTCATAATTAATTGTATTATGTAGACATCAAAATATTATCCATAGAACTTCATATAAGTTTAAAAATAGAATTTGATATTAATATTCAGTTGAAATATGAATTAAATCTTTTAATATCGAAAGTTTAATTAATATCATAAACATTAAAGAAATAAAAACTACACGAATTAAACGAAAAATACCTTAAAATACATATGAATAGTATATTAGATACAGACTTAAATCAAAATAATAAACATGCAATTCAACATCAATGACTATTATATGAAACTGATAGATTTAGATCATCATATAACTTAAGAACAAACACGTAGTGAACATCAAAATTAATTAACACGATTTATTCTCAATTTTTTCTATTGTCAGAAGCGCTAGAAAAAATTCAACTAGTGACTCGAATAGAGACAATTGTTTTCAACGGAAATAAAAGGAAATAGAAATTGTTATTAAATTACCAAAGATACATATTCCAGAGAACCAAAAGGCTAATCTGTTGACACTTAGAATGGATAAATATATTTTTGTTTAGATTATATGAAACGACAGAGCAAACAGTTGCCTATAAAATGGAACGTCTTCAAATTCTCTGTAATATTTTTTAGCTATGATACAGCAATATTTCCGAAGCTCCTAAAGTTGTTTTCCTTCCGACTTCTTATAGAAAGTACATTTTTTGACATGAATGTCAGCCATAAACGCTCTAGACAAACTCGTCAACACCTCATTTTGTAGCAAATAGTTTGCTCAATTGTTATATGCAACGCAAAATAAAATTATATTTACGCGATCTAGGTGTTTAAAAATTAGAATTTTGTTTTTCTGGAGTGCATATCATTGCAAATCTGGTATTAATTTATATTTCTTGTTTGCAACGATTTTCTCTACACGAAATTTTTCAAGTGAAATATTCAGCTTTAATCAATAAATCTAATCATAGATTACAAAAAAAAACTAATTAAAATGATATGATCTATTTTTTGTCACCTATTTGACTGAAACGCTTTAAAAACTATCAAAATATCAATAAAGATTTTATTTTTATTATGTCGCCATTGACACAATGAGGATATTTATTATAAGAAATACAAAATCATTTTCATTATTCCTAAGACATTATAATTAGTATTAAAATAAGAGTCAACTTCTAATATATATCAGTTCGAACTAGTCGAAACCAAAATAGACAAATGATCTTTAAGATTTATCATTTTTTTCATGTACATAATATACATATTTGCTTTGATTAATATGAAATTTTGTTGTAAACATGTTTTTCATAGGAATATTAATGGAAAAAATAATATTGAGAGCGTCGTCCTTTCTGATATTACTATGCAGAATATATTTTATCTATCAGAAAAGAAAAGGTTAACACTGTCAGTGACTGTAGTTGATAGACATTTATGTTTACAGATCGATAGATCGTTAGCAAACTTTGTCATATCTCAACAATATGATAATTAAGTTCAGAGATGTTCGAACTAAAACATGGTAAAGTTAATTGAAGTTTTTCCATATCGAAACGTAATACATTAGAAAGTTAAGTCAAATTATCCATAGTCAAATAAGCAGCATAGTTTCTATAGTAAAGAAAAAATCTCGATCGAATAAATTTGTTTTGAATTTGATTATATTTAATTTATAGTCATTGTTCGTAACTGAAAGAATTGGAGATGATATTTGAAACGACTATTCCCTAGTGAAAAGACTCATCAATCAAGTATGAATTCTCGAATTACTACAGCTATTTTATGCCTAGATGTACTTTTCGTGCAGTCTAGTAATACGAAAATAGACTAAAGTAATAGAATAAAGAAAACTGATGTAATTTCATGAAAAATAAATAAAAAGTGTTGAAATTTTTCCTTCATCCTTTTGTTGATGAACCATTCATAATAGCTTAATGATTAGGAAGTTAAAGAGAAGAAAAACAAATTTTCACATCTAACTATTCATTTACTAAGAGTAAATATTTTCTTAAACGTATAAAAGATAATTCCTTCAATTTTACATCAGAAATTCAGATAATAATATACTTTTTTTTCCAGATAGGTTGTAAAAATTAAAGAAATAAAACATGGCTAATCACTTATGTTATAAATCGATTAGATGATATAAGCATAATACTATAACTAAATAATTTTATTTATTATTTTAGATTTCTAAATGATAGATGTTCATTAATTTAAAAATATCAGTTTTGTCTTTGTAATAAGTAAAACTAACAGTGTATTTCTTATAGCATTTCTTAATTTCTTTAAATAATTTTTTATTTTATCTTTTATTGTTAGTGTTATACTTAAATCACAACCGATATGATAATTACAATATCACAAAAATACCATATATGCTAATGAGTAATTTTACATAAACCATCCGAGTACATAAAAAAAAAATATTTGAGTACTCGTGAAATATTCAATATTACGAAGCAAGTATTTAATCGTCATACTTATACCCTAGCATGAGTATTACTGATGAATACTTAAAAATCCTGAGTTTTCATCAGTACTCGCGGCATTTTCTAACATGCCTACGTTATGAATACTCATCCATGAGTACCGTCACTTGAGGTTGTCCCTTTCTATTCATATTGATTATAAATAGACATAATTTTTCAATTAGAAATAGTATAACAGTTTAATACGTATAATATCAAAGACTTGAATTAAAGGCATTCGGAAATGAATAGATAATAGTTCCATCAAAATTTCTATAGAGTATGCAGACATATTTGATTTCCAATGCGAACTGTTCAAAAAATGACTAATAAAAAAAAAAAAGGCATAAAGTCTAAAACAATTTCACGGAATTTCCTTAACGGGAATCTTTAGCCTAAAATTTGGTTCAAAAACAAGCTAAACCAGCAAACATTTATGTATCTTTACACTTCCTGAATAGATATGCTAGAAATAGAAAAATAACATTCTGTGAAAGGGTCATTTAGTTTAAAGTTGTTCTAAATTGTATGCACCCATTTACACTGAAAACATCGTTTTTCAATAGCATCAGCTGAGAAAGAACGCTTACTTATTTCCAATGAAGGAAATATTAGAATAAAAATATTGTCATCAAACGATTGAATGAGAGTTCTACTTTCATAATCTATGTTGCCTAGATTTTTCTAATATCTTAAAGAGTTAGAATTATTGTGTTATAAAAGAAATTCAATCATTAGACATTATGAAAAAATATCACTTTCATTTTTTTTCCACTATTTGTCCGCTGTGCATAAAGTTTCTTATCCTATGCAACACTCAAATATTATTGAGTCCATTCTTAAAATATGATATTCAAGGTTATGAATATGATAATTTATTCTAAATACAAAAATCAGACTGTGTTATGAAGGAAACTTGACGATTAGATTGATGTGTCCTATTAGGATATGCTCATGCATATAAAAACACATATTCATAAAATCTATTGTCACGCTGAGATATTCGAGAAAGAATATTCAAGAAAACAGAAGAAAACAATTTAAAGTCTTTTTTTGTTGTTTTCTTTCATTCATTAGCCTACGGTCATGCACTACTTATTTGTTTTCGAAGAGTGACTCAGCCACAATGATGATGTGGATGGAAACGAGCATGAAGAAGCCTTAAAAGGTTTTGTCGTCACTCGTCTTTTTTTTTCGCTTTTGCATAAAGCAAAGAGTAATTTACGCATAATCACAATGGAAGATCATTGTCTTTTTTCTCTTCTATCTCTCTCTCTCTCTCTCTCTCTCTCTATTTCTTTTGCCTTCAAAACAAAAAAACTACAAAGACTATTTGATATATAATCAAAAAAACAAAATAACTAGCAAAACTTAGATTTACATTTCATTGAATCAAATCATTGTATACATCATTCACCAAAGAGAATGATAAGCAGATCTTGAGATCAGTTTATAATCTTTCTCTTTTTGCTTCTTTTTTTTGTCTTTTCTAGGTTTTTGTTGTTGTTTTTGATAGACATCATTGTTTTCTATATGTTACTCGATACTCTTCAAGTCGCATTTCTTTATCTTGTCAAGAAAACTTTTCGACAAGTAATAAATGAGAAAAGAGGAGACGGTCTTAGTGACGGAATGCATCCAAATGTAAAATGACTAACATAAAAAAGAGAGAGAAAGCGATAGAGAGAGAGAGAGAGAGAGAGAGAGAAAAAACGTAGCCCAAAAAGAACCTAAAAATCAGATTCTTTCTTATTCAGATAATAAGAGAGAATAGACAAATAGATACATGACGAATGAATATTAGTAAATAATTTCAATAAAAACCAATGACTACATTGATTAATTACACTAACAATAATTTTTCAAAAGAAGAATCTTCATCTGGATTGCCTTTAACTGTACAAGTGAGTAAAAAGATCATACTTTTACTTTTTTCTCTATTATAATCGATATAAAGAGTATTTATTTTCAAACGAATAAAACTGATTTGATTCGTATTTTTGAATATTCCGATATTTGTACTAAGAAAAAGTTTTCTAAAATACAAATTTCAAATGATTGTTTTTTTTTTGTTTGACTAATAAATGTCATTGAGATACATTGAAGTAAGTATTTTGTATATTCCAGTTTTTTTGTTTCTCTTTATAATAGAAAAATATAATTGAAACAAAGAAACCTCATCAAGCATATATTTAGGAATATAACAGTTACAAAACTAGAGGACATGATAACAATCACTAATGAATTACATACATATCAAAAAATTGAACTTAGCTAAAGATTTTTCTATTATGAAAATATTTCTAAAACAATCTATTGATTTTCTTTTTCGAGAAAAACAAAAGTCATTCGTTTATTTTTTTTACATATTTAGTTCATCTTTTTATTCTTATTTGCTATTGTTGTACTATTGGCCGTTTGTGGAAATAGTATTGTAATATGGATTGTACTTGCACATCGACGTATGAGAACACCAACAAATTATTTTCTTGTTAATCTTGCTTATGCTGATGTACTCAATGCTATATTTAATGTTCCATTTAATGGCTATTATATGGTTACTGGAGTACGATGGCCATTTGGAAATTTAATGTGTCCTTTAGTACAAGCAGTATCTCATATATCAATTGCAGCTAATGTACTTACTTATGTAGCGATTAGTTTAGATCGGTAAATTCAAAAATATTTAAAAATAAAAATAAAAACGATTATATATTTCTTTTTTTCTTCTTTCTATTGAAAAGATATTTTGCAATACTATATCCATTACGTACGAAATTAACACATAAACAAACTATTATGATAATATGTGGTATATGGATATTATCTTTACTTGTATCATCACCGGCTATTCGATCATTTAGTAATATTAAAACTGATTGTAAAATTGAAAATTTAGATGAACATAAAAAGTAAATTATAAAAATATTTTATCTAGTTTTTTGTTTGCTAATACAAAAAAAAGTTGATTTTTCTTATAGGTATGAATGGATTTTCTTTTCAGTAACATATATAGGTCCAATTGTTATATTAACAATAACATATACAAGAATAGCTATTGAACTATGGAGACAAACTGGTTTGTTTTATTAAAATAAAAATTTTTGATTTTCACATAAATTTTATTTAGCTATTGGAGAAGTTACAAAACGACAACGTGATTCAATTCAATCGAAACGAAAAGTTGTCAAAATGCTTATTGCTGTTGTTTTAATTTTTGGTATATGCTGGTAATTATAGAAAAAAAAAAAATATATATATATATATTATATAAACGAATCTCTTATATTTTAATTATAGGTTTCCTCAACAACTTTATTTTATTCTTGTTTCTATATATAAATCAATTCCAGAATGGCCTGGAACTCCTTATGTTTATCTTATATCGTATTTTTTTGCTATGAGTAATTCAATGTATAATCCATTTCTTTACTGTTGTATGAATAATAGGTAAATAAAATAATATTTTTTGATTGTCGTTTCAATTTTTATTTTTTTTCTATTAATATTTAGATTTCGTAATGGTTTTCGTAGTGTATTTCGTTTTTGTCCATGTGTATCATCGTCAGTTGAATATTCTCTACAAGCTCATGCATCTTGTCGTAGTTTTTCGGAACCAGCAGCACTTAGTGTGGTATATTCATCACAACGTAAAAGTAAAACAACAAATTCATCAAATATACCTCGAGCAACAATGTCTGAATTATCGATTAATTTTAATCGACATCATCGACAAAATTTATGAAAACTAAATTTTTTTTTTCTTCCTCATTATATTCCTTTTATGTCTTTGCTGATGACTTCATTTCTTTTTTTTTTTAAATATATATCCAGAGAAAGAGAGAAATAAATAAAATCTAAATTCACGATCTTTTACAAAAATAGAATGAACAAGAGAAAATTAGTTTTCTCTTTGGAATGATGATGACTAGATGATTGATGTTTGACATGAGTTAATATATTCATTAGATTATATTCGGAATTTTTATGTTTCTTTTTCCTTTCTTTCTTTCTTTCTTCGATTCATTTATTGCAACCAATTACCATTAAGACGAGCAAGAAGACGAAGCCAATGACTATCTGTACGAGGAACAGTGTTGATATCATTGAGTTTATCTTGTTGATCATATTCATCATTGTTTGATGAGAGTTTATTTGATTCAATCATATCTTGTTGACGATCGACAAATTTTGAACTTTGACGTTTTTCCTGAACAAAAGAGAAAAACATAAATCTTTTTTTTAGCGATAAAATGTTTTTTCATTATTTTGAAAGCTATTTTAATTAAAATAATGAGAATGTGCTAATATAAAAACTAGCCGAGCTGTAATTTACTGTTTGAACCTATATCGGATTTACAAAGAAGCCTTGATAAGGCTAAAAGGATTTATGCTCATAGATCTCCAGAGTAGAGTCGGTTGAATTGTTCTCGGACCTGGCTCGAATCCAAAAATTTTGAAGTCGATGGACTCTAGTCGTTTGAGAAATGTATAGAATACGCTAGCCACTAAATGCGAAAAAACAGAAAAAAAAAGTTCTTATTTTCGGAGCGACTCTCTAATTCCAATTAGAAAATTTCATTGAGACTGTTAAAGTACGATTCGATCAGGTTCAGATCCGAAACTCTTGGACTCATTTTTACGTATATACGGCATCAGTCAAAAAGACTATTCCTTTGTTAAGATATTGATTTTCGAACAGATACTCGCTTGCCATAAAAAAATCAAGTTGCCTTAGAAATTAAATATCTCGACCAAGGAATATTCTTGTCAACTGAAAATTTCAGGATATTCTAAGAGTTATGAGACCTATCAATAGGATAACTTTCAGGTAGAAATTCTATTATTTGATTTTCCTGTAATAATCTAAAACTGAGTCAAATATTCAGTAAAACAATCATAACTCAACGTCAGAGACCTATGGACATGACCCCTATTAAGATTTTTCTAGTTATATCTACACCTTATTTTTGTGCGGCCAATATGAGTTCACAATTAAGGTAGTTCTTTGTCATAATTTTCTCGAAGGTCATTGTGCCCCGGGTAAAATTTGATCTAAAACCTTTGAGCTCATTCTATTTAAGAATTAATTCAATTTGCTTTAAAAATCTTTATTGAATTAAAATCGACAAGAAAAATTTCATTTGCTTTAAAACATATATTACAATCATCATGCCATTTTTCAATTGTAGTCATTATAACTAAACTACTAGGATATACTCGAGTCATACATGACTATGATAGCATCTTCGCACTTGAATATCATGTAGTTACTTACGATTCATATTTCAAATAGCTCATTTCTCAACTTACTTATACTACGTAGTATCATATATTCATTATTTTTATTTAGCCGTTTTCCTAATAGTAAATATATCTACAGGATGTTCTTGGAATTGAACAAGAAGATTATTCAATTAATTTTCAAAGACAATAGACGATCACTCGTAAAACTTGTTAAATGTCAGAAAAATATTAAAATATGCTTTCTTCAGTTATGACACAAATAGAATATATTCTTTTTAAGGTCTTATTATGGAAGAATCTATTTTTGTCATCATGTTTTTTGTTTAACTTACACTTCGTTCATTCTGGACGGTATTATAATTTTCATCGTAAACTCTTGGTCCAGCTTTAATATGATGAGGTGCTTCACTTGTACCATGTAATACTAAACGAAAATCTTCCAATGAACCATGATTATTCATGTTGCCCGTCTAATAAATGACAAATAGATTGTATATATATATATATGTATAAAAAATAAAAATTTACTGTATCCATTATTTTAATTTTCCATAAACCTTTTGGATCTTCACCCCAATTATGTACACTCATAAATGACCAATTTTTAAAACCTTCTGGTGATGTATCTTGATCACGTTCAGTTAATAATGTTGTTTGAGTTCCTAAGTAAATGATTTTTTAAAATACAAAAAAAAATAGAAAATATATTCAAATTTACCATGTGGACTAGTAATATTTATTTTGAGTGCACCACGTCGTGTATAACTAATTGTAACATAAAGTTGAATATGTTCAAGAAAACGAACTACATTATTTTCGCCTTCACAACCTTTCACTTCAAAATCGACTTCTAATGGACGAGCAGCACTGATTTTTCTACAAGTACATTATTAAAAAAAAAATTATTTTTATATAAAATACATACTGTGGTTGAAATTTAACCGGTTCTATTTCGCAAATACTTTGTTTAGGTACAGTAACCCAATTTTTTGCTGCTTCAGTTAATGCTGCAGCATTTAAAAGACCAAAACCAAAGCGACTATTTACCTAAAGAATAAAAAAAAAACAATTTACTCAATATTTCTTTAGTATAAATATATTTTTAGAAAAATAGAAGTACATATTTGCTTTGACAAACAAAAAAAACAGCTCAAAAATATTTGAATAAAATATTTATTTTTAAGAAAAAGCAAAAAATTATAAATATTATTAAAATAATTCTAACATATGGTTAGTAAATATTAAAAATTATAAACTTACTTTATAACCTGCACCATTTGTTGTCCAACCATGATTATCAGCCAATGGTGCATATTCTGATGTCCAGGCAACTAAATGTTGCATGTCACGCCATGTTAATTCCGGACTATAATGAAATAAGAAGATTTATTTATAATTGATTTTTTTATGTTTTACTTTGCTTCTAATACAAGGGCAAATATACCAGCAGCTAATGGGGCTGAAGCTAAAAACAAACAAAAATTTATCATGAAATAAGAATTTCTAGAAAAAAAAACAAACCAGATGTTCCTGTATGATCATCAGTACATGAATCATGAAGATCTGTTGTTGTCTAACGAAAACAAAAAAGATAAATACTTTTTTTTTTCTCTTATAATTAGTCTACTTACGACTTTTTGATCTTTATAAGCTCCTGATGAATATGTTGTTGCCATTGTACTTGGACAACGTTCAGCATACCATGGTGATTGTTGATGTTCAGATGCAGATGATATTGAAATTGTATAAATTGAACCAGTATAACCATCACAACTAATTATGTTTTTATTCCAAATTATTAATTATTAAAGGAAATAAGAATTAAACTTACTTGCAATTATCTTGTCGTCGTCCGCCATTGCCTGATGCCCAAACATAAATAACACCTTTACCATTACGACCTTCTGTTATTCCTTTGATAAAAGCAGCTGAAGCAAGTGTACCGGGACCTTCAACCTATAATTATTTATAACATATTTTAATCTTTAGTTATATTTAGTATTTATACTGTTCGTCCATCATCATTTGGACCCCATGAAGCTGAATAAATATCGATATATTTATGATTAAAAGCAATAGCTTCAGCTTCAACACGATCAGTAACATGACCATCTAACATCCGAATACCACCAATTTTTGCATTATATCTAATATATAATCATGAAATAATAATAATATATATACGTATATATCTATATATGCTTACGCGATACCAACACCACAAATAGAATTATTTGCAACCATCGCAACTTCTCCTGCACATCGTGTTCCATGTCTGAATTGATGAACAAAAAAAAAACAAAAGATATTTAAATAAACATAAATAATAAATTATTACTTGTTTTCATTCGTTGGATCATATCGTGGACTTGGATCATCATCATTATCATTTAAATCATAGCTTGCCTTTGGATCATAATTTGCCAATATGTCCGAATTATTCCATTCAAGACCATCATCAAGTATGGTTACTTTAATACCTTTTCCTGTATAACCTGCTGCCCATGCTGGTAAAACGTGTAAATCAAGTTTTGGTAAATAACTTGAAGTATCTGGTCTTGTATCTTTCTAGAAATAAAAATCAAAAATTACATTGAATAGAACAAAGAAGAAAAACAAAAAGAAAAATTTAATACTTACTAAATACCATTCTTTTGACCATTTTGGATCAGAAAATGATACTGAACGATAAACACGTTCTTCTTGTGCACGTTTATCAATGAAATCTCTTTTAACACGATTTCGTGATTGTTGTTGTTCAGCCCATGATACTTTTTCATGTTTAGTTAATAAATCAGTAAAATCATTTGTTGCACGTTTAGATCGTCGAGGAACATATGGATTAATAAATAAATAATAATTATCAAAGATCTAAAAATAAAATTTCAAAAAATATTATTTCAAAATAATAAATATCAATAGTTAACCTTTCGTCTATTTTGTAAGCCAAGTTCACTTGCAACAAGATCTGCAACATCATCACCTAATAAATTAATAATATAAAAGTTTTTCTTATTTTTAGAATTATTAATTCAATCCTTTTTTCTTTTTTTTACCTTCATCAATTCTTACAACCCATTCGTTGGAATGTTCGGGTACGAATTCAATGTTATGATTGATTTCATCATAATCAATAGCTGCATTGGTCAAGGAAAATAAGAAAATAAATGAGAGGAAACGGGACATTAATCGATGCATGGTCTCGAACTGTAGGGAATCTAAAATGTATATCAGAATTGTTTTGTTTTTCCGTACGTCATCAGGCAGACTTTTCTCTTTTTTCTCACCCCTTCATCTATAACAACTCCTACGCACTCACTCAACAAAGCATTTTTTTTTTCTTCGACTCTGCAAGACATGAGAACAGGGTATCTTTTCTCGCTAATATTTCAGTACGCCCGAGAAAAAAAAGTTTTTTTTCTCTTCTTTATTTTCTTTAGATAGTATTTTTTTTTCTTCTTCTTCTTCCGTTCATGTTAGAGTTCCTATTTTTTTTCC